CGAGGGCTCCGTAACCATAATTCATGTGTCTGTTTTGTTTATCAAGTAATGAATTAAACTATGATTGCTTTGTTTTTACCAATTCTAAATTAGAGATGTAAATAAAGCAAACCGGACAAAATGGTTTTAAGTTTTGAGTTTTGAGTTGTAAAGGTTTAGCCATCCATCGGGTTGGTTTAAATTTTGACGAGCACGAGCCTAAAGCTAAATACGAGCAGTCAACTCGTTTACTATTACAACACTTATATATATATATATATATATATATATATATATATATATATATACATCAATGGTAGATATTGTTTAGGTAAGCACATAACTTCAAAAAACTAACACGTGCACATATAATTTAAAAAAACAAATATAAGATTATTATTATCGTCAACATTTATTTAAATACAGATCCAAAGCAATATTAACAAAGGTACGAAGTTTTAAAATTTTAATTTGATACTATTCAAATCTCAAGTATGATGTTATAAGGTGGGACAAGAAGTTTTTATTTTGTCATACTATATCCTATCTCGTGTACCAAACACATCATATATTTAGGTTTTAGTACTTTTCAAGTTTTCAATTCACATTAGTTTATATAAATGTTAAATTAAAAAAATTGAATAGTGCATTATAATTTGTGTTGTACTGTCAGGTGGCGTTTGGTTCGCAGAGTGTTTTTGGATGGAATAAAATCTGTCAAAAAAATTGATTTTGAAGGAATTGGAATGAAATGCTGTCAAGTTTGACCACATGTTTGGTTCACAAACATTGGAATGAAATCTGTCTGTTTTGGTTCAAATAATGTAATTTTGAAATTGAAATGAAATATTAGTAAAGGACCAATATGTCATTTTTTGAAAATTTCAATTTTTTTTAAACTAGTAATACTTTAATAAAATAATTATTTAATATGTAAAACGATATAAAATACAAAACTCAAATATAACCCTAAGTGAAACGACGTTACTAAATCAAAAGTGGTCGGTTGTGGTTCAGATCGATGGTGGTCCACGGTAGTTCAGATAGGTGGTGGTCCGCAATGGTTCAGACGGGGGTGGTCGGCAGTTGTTCAGATCAATGGTGGTCTACACTAGTTCAGATGGAGGTGGTCAACAGTGGTTCAGATCGGTGGTTGTTCAAATCATTGGTGGTCGCTACTGTCCGGCGGTGATTCAGATCGGTGGTAGTCGCTGGTGGTCGACAGTGGTTCAGATCGGTGATGGTCCGTAGTGGTTCAAATGGCGGTGGTCGGCGGTGGTTCAGATGGAGGTAGTCAACGGTGGTTAAGAGGGATAGTGGTTCAAATCGGGGGTTGTTCAAATCGTTGGTGGTCGGCGGTGTGCGACGGTGATTCAGATCGGCGATTGGTCGGAAGTGGTTCAGATTAGCGGTGGTTTAGATCAGGGTGGTTTAGATCGGGGATGGTTCAGATCAGCGTGGGTTCAGATCGGTGGTTGTTTAGATCGGTGATGCTCGGTGGTGATTCATATCGGTAGTAGTTGGCGGTGGTTCAGGTCGGTGGTGATCCGTGGTGGTTTAGATGGCAATGATCGGCGGTGACTCAGATCGACGGTGAACCAAATCGATGGTGGTTCAGATCGACGGTGCCCGACGGTAGTAGTCGGTGGAGATGGTTGGCAGTGGTTCATATGACAACGGCCGGCTGTGGTTCAGATGACGATAGTCGATAGCGGTTCAGATGGCGATGGTTGGTTGTGGTTCAGATGGCGGTGGTCGGCGGTGATTCAGATCAACGTGGTCGAAGGTGTTCGACAATGGTCATATTCGGTTTTATGAGATTAGGGGATATTGGGCTAAAGACATATTTGGTATTATGAAAATAGATAATCACTTTCGTGAAGAAAAAAAAATGAACCAAACGAGGAAATGTAATTTGGTCAATGGAATTCAATATTCAATTCCATCATATTTCTTCAAAATTTGCGAACCAAACGCTCCCTTAGCTTCTAAAAGATTCATGTCTCCCTTTCAGCGTTACACTGTGTCATAATTAAACATCCAGAGTCGATTTTTACTTTTATGAGTAAAAGACCATATCCCATGATTATTATATAACATACAAATTAATTTGACATTCGAATTGAATTAGACCTAAATAACCATCTTGTCAAAAATTTAAAATACGAAAATATATTTTCAGTAAATTTTGTAATCTTCTCGTGCTACATTTTTAAAGCAAAAATTACTTATAAACATTAAAATTGACAAGAATCATTGTCATCATGAATGTGGATCGTTAAAAATGTATTATTTTGTTCACAATACTACAGAACATTGATTTCGCTTGTCATTGACTTCATTTAAATTATTGTGATTTTATTACGTTAATATTATTATTTAAAAATCATATATAATTAATGCTATATATAATATTTGAAGTCGATATATAGTTTCATCCATATTTTTTATGGCATTTAAATTCGTGGTTGAACTTGCATCTTAAACACCACTTTTTAGTTTATTTCTTCAGCATGCTGTGTTACTAACCATTTATTATGTATGATTCGTCAAATATCATCAAATTAAATGTCTGATGGTATGTGTTTTCATACATAAATTAAATTTTTTATTAATGCTATTCCAAAAGAAAGATACAACGATGAAGGAATTGGTAGTCACTTTTCGATATGGATTTCGTCTTTTCACCGTTTTAATCGTCGATATTTCTCAATTCTGTTTTTTAAATTTCTGAAATAACATTTTTAATTTTCGACAACTCTATTCTAATATAGCTTTTTTCAAAACAGGGTTCTTTAAGTTAACATGGGACAAGGGGTCCTCAAATTCCGGTGGCTTCTAATCAGCCATTAAAATAACTTTAAGAGGATAACTACAACTATGTCGTACATATACCTCCAAACATATTAAAATCATCGGTCCATTTTAAATTATAATATTTATCTTAGATTAATAATATATGTCAACAATGATAAAGTATAGGTATGACATGGACTTAAAAACTAAAAACTACCAATCCATTTAATGATTCCTACAAATTAAATCAAAAATATTTTCTTTTCTTAGCTCATGTTTACATACGATATATGCATACATACTGTAACAATTCGTCCCACATGAATAAAATGTAAAAATTATTAGCTCCTTATAAGTCTCAAGTAATAGATTACCAATAACTTTCACGATGAAATCAGATTTTGAAAGGTAATATATGTGGAATTGACGGAGTGTTTCCAAAATCATTGGATGGAAATATGAGAGTGAATATTTGATGTATGAATTTCCAAGTAAAGTGAAGGTTTCTTGGTCCCAATTAATTCATATTTTCAGCAGCATCTCTCCCATCCCAAGACAAATAAAAAGGTTTGATGTTCAATCTAATCACTTTTTCCCAATTACCAATTGGTTGACCAAACTTAGAAGGTGGAATTTTCTATGTGCCAAAAGGGTATAAAGGTAAATTTACCCCATGAAAAAGGAAACATTAGTTATTGCAATGAATACTTAACATGAAATGTTGCCACTAATGTTTGGACCAAAACATTTAGATGCCCCTAACTTTTTTTTTTTTTTTAACATAAGGTCTAGAAGACCTTGAATTTGGGGATGTTTCCACAAATAAAGTCTCTTACCTAAGCTACTCCATAATTTAGGGAACCTTTCAATAAAATATATATTTAAAAAAAATATCTTTTTAATCTTTAATTATAAACGTAACGTATAGTCAAACACGTCAAATTAAAACGACCCATTTATTATTGATGAAATTCACAGCTAAAAACCTTTAATTTCATACTATCGATGTCAACTGTAACGTCACAATTTCAAGAAATAATATTACAATTTCGGTAGCATGTTAAAATGAAAATTATATGATATACAAATGATGTATTTTTCTTATATATACAAGAATATAATAATATACATGAGCAATATCAAAATCAAATGTGATCAATAATTTATCCTTATAGAAAGTAACTTTAACGTCAAAGTTTTTTTTTTTAATTAAAAAAGATAAATATACATAAATGTTGTTTTTATATGAGACAAATAAAACATAATTACTGCATAAACAAACAAAAACACTACACACATATCAAGACTTGTGCTAAATATGTCTAGTAAAATACCTTCAAGCATTTTGAATTTTATTTTAAAGTAAATTATTTTTTAAAAAAATTAATATTTTAATAAATAATAATGAATTAAATTTAAAAAAAACATAATTTTAAACTTTTTTTTTTTTGATAAAACAAAAGTGGCAAAAGCCACCTCAGACTTTGTCATTAACAACTAATTCTATGAATGATCCAACTCATCATACCACATTTTTATGAATAAAAACCAAAACACATACCTCAATTTCAAATAAAATAATAAAAGCTTTTTATTTATTTATTTTCAATATCCATAACTAACTTATATTCTGTGTTCTTAGTTATAACCATTTTAGTATTATATTTTTCATATACCTCCAATTAAATATTTATATAAATGGTGTTTTTATATGTATTTTTATACATGTTAGAATCAAATCAATTTATGCATTAAGAATGTAAAATGTAAATATTGAAAGTATATAAAGAAATTTAAAATGTATTAAAATTATAAAATATTTAAATAATATAATTAATGATGAAATCTTTAGAGAAAATTAAATGTAATTTATTTTAAAAGAAATTATTTTTAATTTTTTATTTTAAAAAAAAAGGATAAAAATCTGTTAGAAATATTCTGATACTAACATGTATAGAAAGAAAATTAATAGACAAATAGTGGTGAAATTTGAAAAGAAGTTTCTTTGGGGGTGGAATATGCAATTTAAGAAAAAGAAGAAAAAAAGAAAGAAGGTTCGGTTACTTGCACCCATGGTTCACTTAGGTTCAGGTTGGGGTTCGGGTTCGGAGTTAGGTTCGTAAGTTGTCCATTTACATTGATTGTGTGAGCGGATAAGAACGACCCACCCCACCCACCCCCACACCAATTTCTTCTACAAGTACCCTCTCATTTCTTCGCCGCCTCCACTTCCAAATAACCCCCGTTTTTCTTCTCCCCCCACTCTGCATTTTCACGGTCAACAATCCGGCCACCACCTCCGCCGTTGCTGCTCTGCTCTCTTAAGTTGTCAAACTGGCGATCGATAATCAAGAAACCACCATCGTCCGAGAAATCAAACCGAAGAACCGTCGGATTATGGTAAGGACATCGGGATTTTCTGTTTTTGTTGGTTGCTTTTCACGGGTTTAATTGATGGGTTGATGGGAATGTAGGGTGCTGGTGGACCTGATGAAGAAGAACAAAAGTGGCCTCCATGGTTGAAGCCGATGCTTCGAGAAAGCTTCTTTGTTCAATGTAAACTGCACGCGGATTCGCACAAGTCTGAATGCAATATGTACTGCTTGGATTGCATGAATGGCGCTCTATGTTCTCTCTGTCTTAATCACCATAAGGATCATCGCGCCATTCAGGTATATATTCTCCTTTCCCCATTGATTCCTCCTTTTTTTTTTTTTTACTTTTTCATTTTTATCCTCGATTCTGACTTGAATCATCTGGGCTTAAAGGACCTTTTGTATTTAACAGATCAGCTTTTATCAACCGATTTGAATTTGAATATCTGTGTTTTCATCGGATTTCAATTACTTAACTCTACCGATTCATCTATTTTTCAATGTGTTCTCATATACATCATCTAAACAGCTTTTTGTTAGCTGATTTCGACCATTTGGTATCTGGGTGTTGGCCATTTTTGAATTTAGCTATCTGGATCGATGAATGTAAAACCATTCCAAAAGTTACCCATCTGGGTTCTCACCAAATTTGACTTTCAGCATCATTGTTTTAACCATTTCAAGAAACTTTGAAATTACCCCTGTATCTAGCACAGAGATTTCTATCGATATCTAACAATCAATTTGCAGATAAGGAGGTCATCATATCATGATGTGATCAGAGTATCCGAGATTCAAAAATACTTGGACATCAGTTCAGTCCAGACTTACATTATCAACAGCGCAAAAGTGGTCTTCTTGAACGAACGGCCACAGCCGAGGCCTGGCAAAGGTGTTACCAATACCTGCGAAGTTTGTGAGCGAAGCCTTCTTGATTCATTCCGATTCTGCTCGCTTGGTTGCAAGGTAAATTTCATCGATTTATGACTTGCTTTAATTATTGGAAAATGCTCACTACCCCTCTGATTCCGGAGTTGACTTCGAGTTTGATCAATGGTGGTCATTTGCCATATTTTTCGGCTTTTTTTTTCAATTACTTGGTTTATTTTTATTTCTTTTGATCGTCGATGATGGTTTTTGATCGGATTTCTTTTGATTATTGAAGTAAATTAAAAAAAAACAATGATTGAATCTGTGATTATGATGGTCGCAGATTGTTGGAACGTCGAAGAATTTCGAGAGAAAGAGGAAGATTAAGCCGGAGAAGAAGCATTTAGTGTCAGATTCAGAGGATTCTTACAGCAGCAGCAGCAGCAGTCATGGACGTGAGAGGAGTAACCGATTCAGTCCGTCAACTCCACCGCCGACGGCGGCGAGCTTCAGGACGACGAAGAGGAGAAAGGGCATACCTCATAGAGCCCCAATGGGTGGAATTGTGATAGAATACTAAAAGAGCCCCTACACTTTAAGTTAATTACCCAAAAGGTCCCCCTGATACCTAGTGCTTTGAGAAAGGCCTGTGTGAGCGAGGGAATTTACCATTACATCCTGTGCCTGTACAAAGAAGCAGCATATAGGTTAATAGAGTAATAGAAGGGCAAAAATGGAAACAAAATAAGAAATAAGAAAATGTGTAAAAGATGAAACTTGATATAGTAGTTTTGCATCTAGTGTAGGAAAAATAAATGTCAAATATTTGTCCAGAATGGGTTATGTTTGTTTTTGTCTCATAAAAAATCTTGTGTACGATATTTTGTTACATGTTTTTTTTTTCCTTAACTATGATTGTTTTTGATATAATGTGCATTCTGATTAATTCTAGTTTTTTAGGGGTTTTGAATAACAGTCAGACCAAGTGATCTTGCAAGGCCTATATTGATGATTTCAAAAAAGGATTTTCGAAAATTAAGTTTTATTATCGTTTGGATAATTGGTCACATTTTATTTATGAAATGTATTGGAATGGTATTAGTAGACATTGGAAAGAAAGACGTTATGAAGCTTCGCTGGGATTAGCTTTAGACCTTTTTCTGTACAGCTTAGGTGGAAGGCGAAGAAGGCCTCCTTCCGAGAAGTGCTCTCCTATTCCGATTTCCTCACAGCCTCCGGTGGCTAAGTTACCAATTTCGTATTTCTAATGATAGATTGGTAAAGGTACAAGGATGGATGCAAGAGGTACCAATTTCGTATTTCTAATGATAGATTGGTAAAGGTACAAGGATGGATGCAAGAGGTACAAGTGTTGTTACATGACTTAGAGAGATTAGCTAAAAGTAGAAAGTTGTACGTATGTGGGACCAAGTGATGGGAATGGTGGGAAGAAAGGGGCTAAGAGTGGTGGAGGTGTAGTGGGAGTTTTTGATTGGTTGAAAGAAAGTGATGTTTGATGGAATGATCCTCCGCCCTCGATTTCATCAATATGCTTTCCTCTTTCAATCCATTGGTCATTATCATTTTATTAAAATCAGATCAAATCATGTATTAAAACTTAAAATAAATCTTGATATTGATGTGTGCAAAAGCAAAATAATAAGTAAGGATGCATTTAACACATCCTATATGCCATATATTGATGATTGGTGTTGTATGTATATCTATTTATAAACGAAAGATCGTGAGAGAGTATGAGTTAAAATGACAAATGTAAGAAATGATTTGAATCATTGATCACTTTTAGTTAGTGTTAATCTTATGGTTTCGATTAAGTCTCAAAATAACCCATGAATTAGCTTAGATAGGTATTTTCAGTTGATCTTCTATTAAGATTGATCCAATGTTGAGATTCATTCTTATCATTCTCACGATAACTACTATTTTTACTGGAAAACAACTATCTATTTATAAATAAAGAATACGTCACATTATAGATCAAAAATATAAGGTGTCTTGATATTGTCGTGTGTGAGCATAATATTAATATATAGATGTGTATTTATTCAATCTTATATTTATATATCAAGTTGTACTTTTTTATAAAATATATATTCTAAATTATTATGGATTAAAGTGTTTTGTATGTTAATCGTTGTGGTTAAATATGTGAACTAATCAAATAATTACTGTATCATGATATGTTTCATGTGTATCAAAATTAGTTAAGTTTTTTTTTTTTTGTTGATATAAAAAATAAATGCATCTTTATTGGTATATTATATATTTTTTAAATATGATAACTTGTTTATACTGTAAAACAATTGTTCCGCAACCTTTGCATTCTAGGGCCCTCTTATTGATCTCTACCTGCCTAAGTTTCTTAGCCATGAAAACCGCTTCTTTTGTCTTTTCCTTTCGTACGATCATCTATCTATCACCATCCATATAAATAGAGTTTTCTTATATTCAATCACAAATTTCAGACGTTGTTAATGTCGTCTTATTCTGACTTTTTGCAGTCAACAAATACCAAATAAATTTGATATTTAAACATAGAGAAAAGTGTATTTAATGTAAAGTGTAGTATTTGTATGATTCAAAGTATACCAACCTCATTATGTTTGTTGTTGAAAATATTTTTTTAAGATAAAAGGAAAAAAACATGAAAAAGTTGCATGTAATTTTGTAGAACATGTGGTATCAAGGGTCTGTTTCAGAGTTTTTTTTTTTTTTTTTGTATTTTTTAAATATTTAACTAATATTAAAATATTTTGATTTAAATTACATATCTTGATTCACTTAAATAGCAATGATACTTAAATTTATCACAAAGATTATATTAAATGTTAATATATTTTTGAGAATAAAATATTAATATATAATATATTATTTAAAACAAGAAATCCGTATGCTTAATTTTTTCCCAAATATATAATCTATTGCAAAGCATTTAAGACAAAATCTTAATAATCATTTTCTATGTATAAAATATTGTTTATTGATATATATTACTTTAAGTTTAAAATTACAAATAAATGATCTATGAGTACAATTTTTAAAACTACATGTTTGAATTCATATGACTCTTACTGATAAATATAATCAAATATATGATAAATATCTCATTTTAAAAAATATCTAAAATATAATTAGTATAATTAGTATAATTATCGAGTTCTATTATTATTCTTACAAAAAACATTACATTATTAAACTTAAATTAAATTATAATAAAAAATGAATTAAACAAGTTATATAAAAAAAAAAAAAAAGGAGAACGTTTAAATTGCTAATTTCATAATGATATCAATATACTTTTTTAAAATTTTGATGGGATCTTCAAGTTTACATTTTATTCAAATATAAAAACATTATTGTTGTCTTAAAACCATACAAATCGTATTATATAATTAACAAAGACAAAGAAGAAAACAAAACATTAAAATCGAGATGTACCGCATTGCATTGTGTGAATACATTTATAGTTTTTATAGAAAACAGAACTCAAGGGTCGTTTACCAATCTGGGTAAGCGCGTAATTAAGTCACGTTACATTACGAAATGAATATTGCAAGAAACCAAGAATCTTACCCGGAAGACAAGGACGGGGAGTTTTACCCGATATGTGATAGCGACGACTATTACCATGGTTGGTGCTTATTGGATGAATTATTATATACGGTGTCGTTTCAATGGACTAAAATCTTACCAGATAAATAAATGATAGTGTTAAATTTTACCAATAAATACTAACGAGATAAATATTTGAATAAACATCCCTTATTTCATATCGATCATCTTTAGTAAGCGTGGAACCCTTAATTTTGATGAGAACCAATCATATCGTTTCATTTTAATCTTTTTTAAAAAGCATATAATAATTAGCTAATAATTGAAAAATCTTTGTTAAATCAACTGTCACACCCTAACACGATAATGTATTAATAAATTAATGCATACAAAATAAATAAGAACCAACATTTAAAAAAAATTCTCTATACTAATTTATTTTTTAAAATAAAATAAAATAAAATAAAGAAGAAAAATGAGAAAACTCAAAGTTTGAAAGAACAGAGAAAGAATATAATATACATATACCACAGACGTTCTATAGTTACTGTTAAGCTTGTGAATGGATGTTATGGTTCTATTATGTCTTCTAATATGAATTTATAACATTATATTTTATACCAATCTGATGTTACTATAAGAATATACTTTTTACAGATTAAAAATCAATAATATATGTATTATTTTAAATATTTAATACTGATAGGACATTTCACCAAAATGATGTGAAAATAGGATAAATGAATAGGTTCTTTAAAGAATTAGACGAAACGCACGACACATTACACAAAACAACAAAAACTCAACGTCATTCAAACTCTGAGTACTTTTTTCGTCTTCCATTCTAGTGGATCAAGTATATGTATTACATTGGAGCAAAATATGTTTTCAATCAAGATCACGATCGACATCATTTTTATAAAAATTGATAACGTCGAATAAAAATAATCCAAGCTTATATTTAAAAAGAAGAAAAAGGTGATTGTAACGAAGGTGAATCGAATTGACACATATATCTAGAGTCTCGTAGGTTGTTTTGGGGCAGGCAATATCCGGGAAGAAACCTAATCCATCGGTTTTGAATTACCCGTGTGGTCCTTTCGTTGTGTTTTGGGTCGGTGGCTCCTTTCGGTTGCAAGGGACATTTTTTGGTTATTTCATTCATAGTTTTTGGAGACAAACTTTAACAAATTAAAATTAAAAAGCATGAAATTTGACTTTGGGATGTGTGTCAAGAGATGAATTCATAAAAGCTTGTAGCATTAGAACTTGAAGGATCATATCAGTAAAAATATCATTCTAACATTTTTATAAAATAAAAAATGTGTCCGTCTAACGAAGCGTGACGTCTCGGTTTGAATTTGTTCGAACCTTATTTTCATAAAATTAGAAGTGTACTCGTGTAATGCAACTCGATGTATCTCTGTTTTGAAATTGATAACTTGAACTTTCATCTTGATACATGCTTCGTTCTATTTTCTACCCCTCTCGATTTATTTTATGGTTTTGTGTTTTGAGAGATCAAAAGTTCCTTTGGTTATCACTTTTTAATGAAATTTTATATCGTATCAGTAGAGATCAATACTTGTCTTGTATTTGAACATATTAATCAATTGATTGTCATTTAGTTTTAGGAAGTTCAGACATTCAAATGTAGAGTGTTGAGAAATTACACGATTTAAATTTTAAATTGTAAATCTGAATTTAAAGAATTTTTAAGAAAACATGTGAATTTTTTTTATAAGAGTAAAGTTTGCTTTTGGTCCCTAACGTTTATCATTTTCAACGTTTTCATCCCTTCATTTTGTTTTAACAAATTTGTCCCTTTACATTTTCTCGTTCCAGCGGGTTTCATCCCTTCTTTCAAACGACGGTTAACCTTTTTAGTTAATTCCAATTTAATAAGGGATATTTTAGTTATTTTAAACATTGTTTTATTTTTATAAAGCCATCAAATCTCTCTCTCTCTCTCTCTCTCTCTCTCTCTCTATATATATATATATACTAGAAGAGTACTCGTGCAATGCAGCGAAATACATCGTGTTTTTAATATTTCATTTTATTCTTTATCTCAGTCGATGTTATAATATGACTTTATGTGATTTTGAGAAAGCGATGATGTTTTTATTTT